AGGAAATAAATCAAAATACATTGAAAGAGATATATGATTACATGATATCTGCTTAATATTTACATATTAATTAAAATATATCAAAATACATGTTAAATGTTAGCTCCCTACATTTAACTAGATTTCTCCATTAAAAAATGGGCACAAAATATAAAAGTACTCAAAGAAGAGAGGGCAGTTCCTACACCAGCTATGCAGTGTGAAACTTGCCATGTGTCTTAAAAAATTTAGAGACTATAATAAGTGACTAGTTAGCCTACAAAGTAGAGAAAAAGGAGCATCACAAAAATTGGCAATACCAATCAAAGTACTTTCCAGAGGAAAGGGAGTCAGCCTTAGGTAACTATAGAATCATGGTAGTTTAATCCTTGGCTGACATCAGAATTATCTGGGGAGGTCTTGAAAATTCTAGTGCTCTAACTATATCTCAGACCAACTGCATTATAACCTTTGCGTATGAGACCGGGCCAGGTAATTCCAATGTGCAGTCCTAGTATAAGGCACTGTCACTTCTAATTAGTCATGGGTAACAGAAAGTTATGGTCACTGCATTTCTCATATTCTGGTCCCACTTGTAGGATTATTCATGACTGTGAGATAGAGAGACTAGTGGTCTTAGCCTGATATTATTGGTTACTTAAGTCATCTACTCCTCTAGTTATGATTCCATGTGTATCAATTTGCCTTTTGATTATCATATAGCTGGACCACAGGGAAAGAGAGAATTGGATATGTTGACTTGAGTATTTGTGGTCTCCATGAAAGTTATATTTCCAATTATAAATATGACAGGGACAAAGTTAATTAATAAGAGTTTACATTTCCTTTCTATCCTCAATCCATCAAGGAGATCTTTGCTTTTTCAGAAGCCTTATTTTTAGGTCTTTTGTGTTACTGAATCTGAAGAATGGACAGATAAAAATGGCATGGGAGAAGGGGGAGAAAAGTAACTTTAGAGCAGAAAAATCTGTCAAACACTATCTCAGGCAGGTGATCAAGGTCAACATCCACAGTAATAAATCACATTGGTCACATGGATTCTTGATCTGATGTGATGAAAGTGGTATTTCACCTCTGTGGGTTTTTTTTCACAAAAACTCAAATTCCATTCTAATAATGAGAAAAACGTGAGGCAAACCCCAATTTGAGGGACAGCCTATGAAACACATGCATTTGTCAAAACTGTCAATGTCATCAAAAACATGCCTGAGTCGCTGTCACAGTCTAGAGGAGCCTAGGAGAACATGATGACTCAACGTAATGTGGTACCCTGAACAGGGTCCTGAAACAGAAAAAGGACGTTAAGTAAAAACCCAGGAAATCTGAATAAAGTATAGCTGTCAGTTAATGATAATGTATCCATATTAGCTCATCAGTTGTGACAGATGTGCTACGGTAACGTAAGATGTCAACAACAGGGGGCCACAGAGTATATGGGGACTCTGTACTATCTTTGCAACTCTTCTGAAATCTAAAACTACTCTAAAATAAAAAGGTTATTTAAAATATAGTATTGTAACTAACTCAAAATGGATTATAGACCTAAATGTAAAAATGTAAAACTACAAAGCTCATAGAAGTGAACACAGAATAAAATTTAGATGATCTTGGGTAGGACAATGACTTTTTTGGTACAACACCAAAGGCATAACCATGAAAAACATAATTGATAAGCTGGGCTTTGTTAAAATTAAAAACTTCTGCTCTGTGAAAGACACTCTCAAAAGAATGAAATGATAAGCCACAGAGTGGGAAAAAGTATTTACAGAAGACTTATCTGATAAAGGAATGTTATCCAAAATATAAAAAGAACTCTTAAAATTCAACAATAAGAAAACCAACTCAGTTAAAAAATAGAAAACACTTGAATAGACATCTTACCAAAGAAGATATACAGATGGCAAATAAACATACAGATGCTCAACATGATATGTCATTAGGGAATTGCAAATTAAAACAAAAAAGAAATACCATACACACTCACTAGAGTGGTCAAAATCCCAAACACTGACAACACCAAATGCTGGTGAAGATGTAGAGCAATGGGAACTCTCATTCATTGTTGGTGGGAATGCAAAATAGTATAGCCCATTTGGACGACATTTTGTCAATTTCTTTCAAAATTAGACACACTCTTACCAAAAAGTCTAGCAATTGTGCTGCTTGGTATTCACCCAAATGAGTTGAAAACTTATGTCCACACAAAAATCTGCACATAGATGTTTACAGCAGGTTCACTCATATTGCTAAAACTTGGAGGCAACCAAGATATCCTTTAGTAGGCAAATGGATAAACTATGATACATCTAGACAATGGATTTTATTCAGCACTGAAAAGAAATGAGCTATAAAGCTATAAAAAGACATGAAAGAACCTCAAGAATATATTACTAAGGGAAAGAAGTCAATATGAAAAAGCTATGTATTATATGATTCCAACTATATGACATTCTTGAAAAGGCAAAACTATAGAGATAGTAAAAAGATCAGTGGTTTCCAGGGGTTGGAGAGGATGAAGGGATGAATAGGTGGAGCACAGAGGATTTTCCAAGTAGTAAAACTTTTCTGTAAGATACTGTAATGGTGGGTACATGTCATAATACATTTGTCCAAACTCATACAATGTACAACACCAAGAGTGAACTCTAATGTAAACTATGGACTTAGGTGATGATAATGCATCAGTGTAGGTTCATTGTAATAAATGAATCACTATGGTGGGGGAGGTTGATAGTGAGTATGTGGGGGTAGGGTGGGAGTAGGGGGTATATGAGAATTCTGAACTTTTCACCCAATTTTGTTTTGAACCTTAAACTGCTCAAAAAAATAAAGTTTATTTAAGAAAACGTAGCATAAGAGAGTCTGCTGGAAAGATGAAAGGATGTAAGCTAAGACATAAAAAAAATCTGACACTCGTAACAAAATATTTCTTGTTTCTCTAGGCTCAGATCATTAGTCTATAATAAGCTCAATCAGGGTAAGGATTGTGTCAATTTTGCTTACACCTCTATGCCTAGTGTCTGTCGTAGTGCCTATGGGAGGCATTGATTTAATACTATGGGGAGACGCCAATCAGTATTAATTAAATGAATGAATGAATGAATAAATGAATGAAATGGCGCCTGTTTCATAGAATTTTTCTAATTACTTCTAACCTGATTAAATTGTCCCATTTTTATGTATTTCTCAAGACATTTCATATTCCTTTATTTTATTGCATGTTTTATTATATATTTGCAGGCAATTATCTCGTATTATCCTTCATACATGTAAACACTTACATACATACATACAAACACACATACACACACACATACACATACAACTGAAAGTTTCTTGAAGACAGATTGAGCTAATATTTAGCTCATTATATTTTTCATCTGCCAATGCTTAACTTGAGCTTTGTATGTTGTGACCATTCATATGAGCTTATTGAATCGAGTTTGTTCTGCTATGACCTGTTTAAAAACTCTTATTTAGTAGTAGTCATGTAACAAATACAAACTGTTAAATATTAATATAAGATAAATGTGCTCATTAATTTAATTCAATGTCTAAATACATTAGGCACGAAACTGTTTTGTATCCGTACATTGTATATTGCTGGTATGAGATTCTGGAAAGGTAACATCAGGGCTATTGTTTGGCATTATGTGCTCAGAAGCCTATTTGATTTCCCTGTGGAAATTTTCCTAAACCAACAGCAGGTTATTGTGAAGAACTGGGCCAGTGGAAATCTGGAGAGTAGGTTCTGCTTAAGTCCCCGAGTTTAGCAAATTGTGTGGCCATTGGTAATTCATTTTACTGTCATAGCCTGAGGCAGCTCTTCTCTAAAATACGAAATAGACTACATAACTCTAAGCACCTTCTTGCTCCAATATTTTTTATCATTTAAAGCTCTTAGATACTCAAACTACATCTCTACATTGCAGGCCAGTTTCCCCTTCATGCATTTTTCTGGCCACAAGATGGCAGGCTTTATGTTGTTTTCTTCATTCTCTAACAACAAAAAGAACTTTAACCCCCCTGCAGTTTTGAAAATTTAAAACTTCAAATTCCTTAAAAGTCTCATAAATGGAATATGGACTCTACATTCTGACTTTAAAAATGTCTTAAATGCTTTGAATTTTCACAATAAAGAAGATTTCTTCTTTTGTGTAGGAATACTAAATCAGTATACTAAATCAGGCTGTTTTTATACAAATGAAAAAAATCCCATGATGCAATCAAAGAGACCACAAGTATTTTCATTTGCTTTTCTTTTTCTTTACATAATCGAAGATAGTGCTTTTGGAATTCAGATTTGATAAAAACTTCACCATGGAGGCTACTGAGTAAAATTCTCAAAATGCACTGTCATTCTGGTATTTTTAGCCATTGTTCTTGATACTTCCTAAGTATCTCAACTTTTTTTTTTCCTTATGCAACTGGGTTCTACCACTTGGTTTGAAGCAGAAGTAGCAAGTCATAATACATCTATTTCATACAGCAAATTGGGACTTAGCAAGAGCAAGATTTGCATTTCAGAACTTTAAAGTAATTTTCCTTAATTTACATAATCTATCTGCTTTCCGAAGATTCCTGATTTTGCCAACTTACCCTGGTCAGAAGCTCATTCATCTCCATTACCAGAGTGTTCAGATTGCCCTCTGCCAGCTGAATGAGCCTCTCTGGGGCCCGCTGAGGTGAGAGCAAGTGCTGAAAAAGATTTCATTCCATATATATTTTAGTAAATGGTCTTGCAGTGATCATGGGGTTGAACATTTAACAGAACACATTTTTCCTATATCCTCAACTAACTTAGCCTTCTCACCTTGAAAGAAAAGAGAAAGAAACTATTTCAGTTGGGCACTTACATACTGAGTACCATGCCTCTCTAGGAGCCTAGAGAGCAGGGACACAGTTAAAGGAAGTGAGCAAAGAAGTTAGATAACTTGTTTACTAAGGCTTTATAATATCAAAACGGGATCCTAAGGACTCAGATATTAAATGAATCATGAAAGAAGAACACAAACACAGAATCAAGAAAGATTTGAATTTAAGGAAAATCAAGATCACGTGGATCAACACCCAGCCATAAGGGGTGTGTGGCTGAAACCCTTGGCTTAGATGATGTCCACAGATGGGAGCCTCATCCATAGGGCCCTCTGTACTTCACTGTCCATTGCTTAAGTATTATATTAGTTTTAAAATGTTTTATATCCAACTAAAATCTCTGCCTTCCTAGTTTAATTTCTTTTCTTTGTATTGACTTCATACACAAGGAAAATAACTGGTCTGCGCTCTTTTATTAAAACTCTGCACATCCCTGAATACCGGGACTGCAAGGGAAACTCAGATTCCTCTGTCTGGCTTTCAATGTTGTCTTTCACATCACCCTGTCCCACTGAAGTCTCCATCCTTATCTCTCACCAGCAGGTCTGAATTTTAATGTCTACCAGACAGGCCTAATTCACACATCTGCCTCTGGTGGCTCTCTTAAGCATGGCCGCCTTCTCCCTGTGTCCTCACATGGCAGAGAGATCTCCAAATACCATCACATTGGAGGCTAGGGTTTGCTGTTGTCTGAATGTTTGTGTCAACTCAATATTCATATTAAGATTCTAACCCTCAACATGATGATATTAGGAGGTGAGGCCTTTGGGAAGTGATTAAGTCATGAAGACAGGGATTAGTGCCCTTGTTAAAGAGACACCAGAGAGCTATCTATCCTCTTTCACCATGTAAGGACACAGCAAGAAGTCATCATCTATGAGGAACAGGCCCTCACTAGACACTGAACCTGCCAGTGCCTTAATCTTGGACTTCCCAGCCTCCAGAATTGTGAGAAATATATTTCTGTTGTTTATAAGCTAATCAGTTTATGGAATTTTTTTTTATAGCAGATAAAATAGACTAAGACAGGATGTCAACATATAAATTAGGGGGATATAAACATTCAGTCCAAGACAACTTTCCTACTTGGAGTTTCCGTAAAAATTATGTGTGATAATCCTGCCATCAGCATTATGGGATTCATCTTCTGGAAAATAGTGATAATAATACTTACCTTAAAGGCTATGGTGAAGGTTAAAGAATATATTCCCTAGAGAAGTATCTACCAAAGCCTAGTGAATAAATTTTAAATTTTTCACCCAGTCCTAACCAATACTTCTCTGCCTACTAAAATGGTTTCTACCCTTCAAGTTCCAACACGAATTATGCTCTCATCAATGTGCATTCCCTGGTTGCTTTGGATCTCATTGACTTCTCCCATCTTTGTACTCTATTGGACTTAAAATCTTTATAAAACATGTGGTAATTATGTATTTTTGCTAATTGCTTGATTATTGTTTAATGATTATTTTTAAACTACATAGAATATAAGCTCCCTGAGGGTAATGACGGCATTATAAGAGTCATTGAATCCCCCAGGAACCAAGTACAATGCTGGGGCATTCTATAATTTCTCAATCAATAGCTGACAATTGCCTGACAGTGTGTAAGTTGACACTTCTCATCTTTTTCCATCGGGTGAAACCACTCCAATTTCCTTAACATTTTCTCCTATCCTCTTAACTACCAAAAGCTTCAATAATGTTTTAATACAGTGTTTTTCATATTGGTGCTTGTTGAAGCACTTTCAAAGGTCTACCAGTTCTCTAGTATGAAATTCTGATTTGGTGTTTTCATTGTGACAGTAACCTCGAATATTAATGTAAGCATTTCTGGATCCCAGGCTAGGCACCTGAGAGATGAATACTGCCACCTGATCTCGGTGCCTACATCAGGGTGTATGTTTGATTATGTGGCAGACTGAGCACATAAGTCACGTGAACTTGTCAAGCGATGCCACAGGTCACTTCAAGACCCCTTGCAAGGGAATTTCTGGTTCAAATGTGGAAAGGTAGGACAACTGAGTTACCCCATGTCACCTGTTAGTGGAAGAACCCGTGTGGAAGTAGTCAGTATCCTATTCTTGTTGCAAGCAGCAACTCCTTTTCAGCCAAAATCATGTTACTTTATATTAATGTTTTTAATTTGAATTTTATTGGTTTTGTAGGCTTCTGTAAGGATTAATTTGTTTTGATTTTATAGAGCTGTAAGTATAAGAAGTTCATGCCTGATTTTATGTTTGTACATATTTAAGTAATATCATAAAACTGATTTAGGCCAAACACTGGGGGGAAGGGCGTACATGAAACTCTTTTCCCTTAATAGAAATCTGTATATTATAGTTCCTCAGTTTGAAAAACACTGGTTTAGAAAATCTCTGGACTTCTCTAATAGCTGTGTCTTTTGATTGGGGGCAGTGGAAAGAGCATTTACCAACTATGGCCCATACCCCTTGGGAAGCTTCTGTCACCTTGTCCTTGGCTCTTGCTGTTGCTGCACCAACCTACCTTTAGTTCCTGGGTCATATTTTCTAGGCCGTGCAGCATCCTATAAGGAGCAGGCAACGGGCCAGTGAGGTTGATGCTCATGGCTGTCTGCTCCAGGCGAGCCAAGTCACCGAGAAGAAGGCCTGTGCATTCATCTCCACAAACTGTGAAAGGGAAGCAACAGAGAATATTTACTTCTGCTAAACATCCCAGGCAGATGTTCAAAGATTTCAGCTATGAAATAGTTTATGGTCCAAGAATAATTCTGTGAAAGATGAAGCTACTCATCTCAGATAATTAATGCTGTCGAATGGATGACAGTTGAAAAAAGATGAGAACAACAAAAGAGCAGATATGCCTGTCGCCTAGGACCTGAAATACAGATGATGATATAAACCAAGAGACCAAAGAAGAGGAGCAAATAGATTTGGGGGGAGGAGTGTATTGCAGAAAGATTAAAGTTCTCCTTTAAGACTGTTGGGGTTCAGAAACTGACACCCCAAAATATGGTGCTTTGTACCTGCTGAACTGAAAAAGCAGCCTCAAGGTCCCTATGGCCTCCCCCGCGCCCTGCCATCTCTCCCAAAGCACGGGATAAAGTTGTTCTCTGAAGTTCCCTTATCTGCCTAAAGTCTGGACCTACCAAAGAAGAAAACAATTACCTCTAGTCACTTCTCTGAGTTTTCATTAGCTAACTACCTATAATATTTTCAATAATCAGAAAGAGGAACTATTTAAAATTGGTGGTAGTGGAGCAGGGATGGTGGTAGAATTGGTAGAGGGAAAAATGGGTTGTTGTCTCTTAATTATCAAATTAATCTCATAAATAGTAGTGCAATTTCTAAAATTAATATACATTGATTTTTTTGGATGATTTTAAAAATATACATATTTCAGTTTGAACTTTTTAGTTTTGCATTGCAGAGTAATGAGGTATATCTTCATGCTAAGCGCAGAAATGGACATATTTATCATATGCATTCGTGTATACTGTTATAATTTCTATCTTATATGCTGCAGATTGAGGTATCAAAACTATACACGTTAGAATAGAGGAAAATACATAACATGGAAAATACTGAGATTTGGGGCAGCTTTGGATCATGCCCAAAATTGGCAAGAATTCAATTAGTTCTCTAAATAGCACTCCCCTGAGCTGCTTAATGGAGAGAAAACCATTAACGAAGCTTGTAAACAAAGAGAAGGAATACGGAGGGCGATTTTTTGATAGGACAGCAGCTAGAGGTGAGTTACAATATCCTTTCACAGGGATTAAACTGCCCCAGCAGGGCTTTTAATAAGTCAGCTCCTTGCAGGTGACACCTGCAACCGTAGAGCATCATCTGCAGGGGCTTTGCCAGCTCCTGATGCTTTACAGGCTGAGTGAATAGAGGCTTTGGAGGCAGGAGCAGAAGTCTGTAACTAGAGCTGTACCTTTTACTCTTTACCAGAATGAAAGAGAATTTGCACTGCATGGAAACTAAGTAAAAGAAAGAGAGCACTTTGGCTTTATAACCTCATTTGATGCAAGCTTCAATAGACCTGTGTACATGAAACGATTACAGAAAGCACTTCATAGAACACAATTAAGTGCCAAATTGACCATGTCTAAACATCAAGATCCACAGACTGGTTCTTAGGGCCTCAGAATCACCTGTAGGACTTTCTGAGCTCACAGAGGGCTTGGCTATACAACCAGCGTTTCTGATTCAGGTGAATGAATCACCTGGTTTCTGATTCTCTGATTGAGAACGTGCTTTCCTAACAAGCTTCCAAGTGATACCGATACTGGGAGTCTGTGCACCACACTTTGAGTAACAACTGGATCAGCAGTATTGGCATCACCTGGAGCTTATCAGAAATGCATAATCTTGGGCTCTACCCCAGATCTAGGACATCAGAAGCTGCACTTTAGAAAGATTCCATGTGATCTATGCATGTTAAAGTCTGACAAGCACTGCTGTAGATCAGTGCTTCTCAACTTTGGCTACACATTAACATCATATGGGGATTTATAAAATACAGATGTCTGAGTCCTTCCCCTCACCATCTCCAGAAAATCTGATTTGATGGGTCCGTGGTAATGTCCAGGCATCATTATTTTTAAAAGATTCCAGAAGATTCTATCATGCAGGCAGGGACTAGAACGACTGGACCAGATGATAAACTGTAGGGATGCTCAATCCCCAAAAAAGCAAGGATTTGAAGGAGGTCATTTTGCTTGCTGTTTCCTCTACCTGGAACATTCTTCCTCCATCCTGACCCACCTTGCTCCTAGTCAAGTTCAGGCCAAGTGCTCCAGAGTTACTTCCTAGCTATCTTATTACTTTATTTATTCATATATTGTTTCTCTCTTACTAAGGAAAGGACCTTAAACATCTTGGTCACGGGGCCTAGGAAAGTACCTTGCACACAACAGACATTCAGTAAATATTTGTATGCTAATATCTTTGTGAAAGATGAGATGAAAAATATTTTGGACTAAGAATGGGAGAGGTTAATATTTGCACATGGCATGCACCCAGGTCCATGAGATGGTTAGATCAGGGAGGGAGAATGTTAGAAGGAGAGGAGAGGAGAGAAGGGGAGAGAGAGCAGGCAGGGTGTGCCAAACAGAAAACATCTGAATGTGAGGAGACAGAGAATCTCACAGAGGTGTGAGGAACAGGAGGACAGGATAAAAACAATGATTAGAGACAGAGAAAGCAAACTGCGTTGTGATTGGAGAGGCAAGAGGACTGTCTGTTATGATGCCTGCCTGGGGTAATTCAGATCTGACCCAGGAAAGAGATATTGGAATGGGGGGAGGGAGGGGAAGAAAACAGGTTTGGAATATTATGAGGAAAGAAACAACACAGATACTGACAAGATCAAAGAGATGCTCATTTCTGGGGGGAATTAAAAATGGTTACAACTTCTTTGCCACTCCTCCCATTAACAGATGGAGTCCCTTCCCCTTGAATCCGGGTTGGCTTTGTGACATAGTCTGACCAACAGAATGTGGCAGAGGGATATTTTGAGTTTTGCAGTTTCTGCTTTCACACTCCTGGAACCCTGCTGCCTTGAGAACATTCCCAGGCTAGCCTCCTTGAGGAATAGAGGTAACATGAGAGAGACAGAGAAGCGCAATTGGAGCCCCAACATGTGAATGAGGCCATCTGGGATCCTCAGACATGACAATAAAAGAACTGTCCAACTGAACCCAGTCTAAATTGCCACCCTACAGAATCATGAGGATATATATACTTGTTTTAAGCTACTAAATTTTGGAATGGCAGCAACAGAATAATTGACACACTTTCCCAAGCTCTGCAGGTGTGATTTAGAATGCAGATTCAGATCAGAGACTCTCAAGTTGCAATTCATACATTAAAAACAAGACAATTCTTAATTTTATTAAAAATTATGAAGAATATAAAGGTTTCTTTCCCACTGATCCCAAGTTCACCATCATTTAAAAAGTTCCATTCGACTTCTGGTGAAGATGTATTTTTGGCAGATGTTTTAAGGATGGAAGCAAGCAATTTGCTCTTTTTTCACTTTCAAGATGTTGAAATATACTTGATAATATGATATCTCACCATGCTTTCTAGGGCTGTGTGTCCCTTTGCTATCCCTTTCCCCAATTTATTTATAATGTGTAACTTACCTATTTCCAAGGAATTGAGTCAATTTGTTGATAATGGTATGGCTAGATGCTCCTTATTAGATGGTCCTAGAAATTACCAGGGAGAATCCCCACAGTTTTCTCAGTTTTTATTTCATGTAAGAATAAACCAGGGACTGGAATGCAGAACTAGATCTGATTTACTGTAATGTACTACAGAGTAAATTGGAGCACTAGAATGCCAAGAGGCATGATGAATACTGATTTTTTCTCTCATTTATTCTACCCCTGCCCATCTGTTTTGGTTCTTCATCTTCAGTTGTTAAAATGGAAATGTATTTAATTGCTCTGTCAAGGACTCATACATTCCATTTTATGTCTCTGTGTCCAAAGGTCTATTATTATCCCATGTCTCATCGTCTCTGTATTTGCTTTTTGGGGAACAAAGTCCAAACACATCTCCATAAGTGAAAGGTAAGTTTTATAGTATGCTCCAAGTAATATACTAACATCTGTCTGAATGGGTCAGAAAGACTTATGAAATATGACAGCCATGGGGATTTTTTCAAAGCTTCTGTACAAGTCTAGCTCATGAAGCTATAAGGTAAACACATGAGAAAATGTGCCCTTTGCATAATGGTTTGCTATTTTATTCTGACACAAAATATTTTACTTACATCACAAGCTACTTTTATTTGCCCTCAAAAAGTCTGAAGTGTCTGGCAACAAATACTGGAAATGGAATGCAAATTAAAACCAAATTTAATTCACTATAATAGGAAAGATCTGAAGAGTGTATAGAGATGGAATATTCACATTATGTAAACAACTGTTCTTTGATAAAGGTGCAATAACAGCTTAGTATAAATTAACACCTATCTTATAATCAGGCCAAAGAACCTCTCCAAACCACTCTCCTAATTCAGCAATATAGATAAGGTTACAAAGTGAGATCCTTGCAAAAATGCATGGGCGCAAAAGCAAATATTTCAAGACTATGATTATATTTTACATGACTAAATGTTTCCAAGGCTTTGCCTATAAAAGTGTCAGGATAAATTTGTGTTTAATATTAACAAATGCAGTACTAAATTCAGATCGTTATAGCTGGGCACATGTAAGGGGCAAATCATGCAGCCAATATTACAGATCTTTCTGTTAGTAATTAGTACAAAATATTGCATTTCTACCAGAGTCCCCCATGCATAATAACTACTGGCTACTGTCACAAAAAAATCACACACTGCATCCAAACCAAAGAAGCTGAAGCTGAAATGAGTACATTGAGTATTTTTGAAAAGGTCAAACCTACTAACCAATTTTAGAAAAAGATATATAAATTGTCTGCTCTAATCAAATAGGAAAATAGGGATAAAATGAGTAAATACACATTATTAAGAAAAGATAAAAATATGTGTTAATATGTATATTTTATATTAATTCTTCTAAATGAATGACATTGATGGTTCCTTGAAACTGAATTTTATATTTCTCTCTTTCCCTTATCTTCTTTAAGAAGAAACATTTAGATTATCATATATTTAGGGCTTATTTGAA